ACTATTGTAATGTTCTTTAATTCTAGTACCAAAATTTCTACCTGTTTGTCCTATATATACTTTTGGACAATCTTTACAAGATAATTTATAAACTCCAGATTTATCACAAGTTTTAGTTTTAGATTTATTATTTTTTAAGTGAAAGCCTATTGTATTGTTAGTTTTGAAAGCAATATTTATATCGTTTTTCTTAAGAAATTTGCTAATTTTATTACTAGCTTGTCCTTGGAAAGTAATACTTTTGAAATTATTATTATTTTGTAATTTTTTAGGGTATACTAAAATAATGGCATTTTTGTATAGTTTTTTGTTTAAAATATCATCTATGTGTTTTTCAGTATTTTTTGTAGTTCTTCTTCAGTGATGTCTTTCCACTCCATTTCATTGATATTTCTTTTATTTTTATATTGGTCCTGTATCCATTTTGCTTCAGTGTTGTGCATCACGTCTTTTCCCCAGATGTTCTTCCAATACTCCTCCAGTTCCCGTTCTGCTGGCATATTTTCACAAGGAGTTAGATTTTTGTTCAACAGCATGTTATAAAATTTTCCTGGATTTTCTGCAAAAAGCTTGTTTTGTTGATACTGCTGTCTTGTACCTTTTCACTCTATAGGATTTTGCTGTTATGAACTGTTCTAGCTTTTCCACTGTCCTGTTTAGATCTTTGGTGTCTTTTACTCGATGTTTTTTTGTATAATTCAACCTTTAATTTTTTTTCCTTGTTGCTTAAGTAGGGTTCTTGTGTTTCTAAAAGTTGCGATAACTCTTTTCCTAGGTTAGCGATTTTTTTCTGGATCCTAATTTTCCACGGAGGATCCCTTCTTTTTTTTTTTCCTGCTAATTTTTCCTTCAGGTCTTTTTCATTTTTTCCTTCTGGTTTTGCCTGGATGATAGTATCTTGTACATATTTTTCAGCTGCGTAGGTACATAATTTTGTTCAGGTTGGTTAGGCTTCTTTCCGATTCTTTCAGTGTTGTCACCCAAATCTTCAGGGATTCGTTTACTTCTGGTCTGTGGTTTAGACTCTCGATGTTATCTTCTATAGCAAGCTGTGATATTTCCCCAATAATATTTTTTGTTTCGGTAAGTGTTGCTTCGTTAAGCTCCAGGTTTGTGCATTGAGTGTTTCTACAATTTGGTATTAGGTATTTTCAAGTGCTTCTGGCTCTCCGTTCTTATTTTGTAGTTCTCCAGGATGTAGTTGGCAATACTATTTCATCATTTCCTTTATTTTTCCCAGTTCGGCTACAGTAATTTTGTTTTTCCGTATGTATCTATGTGCTACCAGTGTGTTTGGATTGGGGTTGTGTTTCAATCTGGGGTTCCGTTCTCTCTATATGTTATAGGTTTCATTCAGACTCCCTATTTCCAGTCTCTCTATTGTGTATTCATGACACCAAATGATTTCCATCTTTTCTTCCTTGGTCCATTTTGTTCGTGCTGTATTTTTTTAATTATTGGGTGTATTGTGTGTTATATTTGGCTCTTCCTGTGTATCCATTCTGCTGTTTGTTCTGCTTCTCAGAATTTGAAGCGTATTTTGCGATACCGTCCGCACAGGTTGGCTTTTAAGTGCGCTTCTTTCGGCTTCTTGCAGATTTTCTTCATTTTGAGGTTGTACAACTTGCATTTGAAGATGTTCTCTTACTGCTTTCCTTATTTCTTCCACCTCTTTTGTTGTAATTTTGTTCAACAGGGTATATCTTCTGTGTGCTGCTCGTGTGTTTGGATTAAGGTTGCGTTTTGAGCTGGGATTTCGTTCTCGCCATGTGTTATACGTTTTCTTTAGATTTCTGGATCCCGTTTCCTCTGTCGTGTATTCGTGAGACCATACGATTTCCTTACATTCTTCTTTAGTCCACTTTGTGTGGGTTGACAGAAGTGTGGAAATTTTATTGGTCGCTGTCTCTTTTTTGGTTATCCTCTGCTGCTTTTTTTATGTCTTCAATGTGGCTCGTACGAGCATTGATTGATGATTCGGCTTGGTTGGCAGTCTCACGAGGTTGGAGTAGATCAAAATGACCCTTCTCTGGATTAGCAATTAATAGGTTTACTTTTTGTTGATAGCGGCCTTTGCTCAAATGGATTGGTTGATCATTTGTCGTGTACTCTTCATTGGGTGACGGTCGATTTTCAAGATATATTTCGAAATCCAGTTCATACACTTCGGAAAGAGCCATGATTTCAAGGCTTGTACCATACACACCGTTTGATCTCATACAGCTACAGTACTCTTCTTTCGTTTTGTAATGTTTTTCCTCAATAAGTATGTGCTCCTTCACTTCTTCCCAGTTCTTTTCGATATACAAGACGCAGAACTGCTACAAATGAGCAGGAGCCGACTGAGAACCATTAGGGGACTCTTGACTAGTCACGCGCCAGTATAGGTTCACCTGAACAGGATGAACCTGTACGATGGAGACCTTAACTGCAGACTCTGCAATAAGGAACCTGAGACAGCCAGACACATCCTGGTGAACTGCGAGGCACTGTATCGCAGAAGACAGCATTTTCGGGTAACCAAACGTAGACCCAGAAACAATTATGAAACACCACCCACTAAAAGACCTGTACAATCTCGTACAAGGCACAAAAATACTTGAATGGGTGAAATAAGCCATACAGGCCAAGTACAATAAGCCTTCTCAGGCTTCAGTGCTGCATGGGGACAAATAAGTCGGACAGGCTTGGAACAAGGAAAAAAAAAAGGCCTTTTCAAAGTCAAGGTATACGACATCCACTGGTTGACCACTGACCTGCAAAATAGTCCAGTCCTTGAGACATGAAAGATGGTTTGTATCTATGGATCTTTTCGGTAAGAACCCGTGTTGACATGCTGGTATTATGCTATTCTCTAGGTAAAAGTCTGTTAGTTCCCTGACAATTATTTTATTCATGCATTTGGAACGTGTAGATGTTAGGCTAATGGGTCTGTAGTATCCAGATTGGCAGCGGTCACCCTTTTTATAGATGGGACTGACAACTGCGTGGGTCCAATTGGTCGATATCTGTGTCATCTTGGAGATTGTTGAGGAGGAATTCGTTGACATTGGTGTAGCTCTGCTGCTAAAACTGTCTCTTTCTAATGATATGGGTAGCTTTGAATGGAGTGGTAATCTGTGTAGTAGCACTTATTATTACGTGGTCGCTTTTTCCCAGAGGTGGGTTTAGCCTCAATACTGGTAACCAGCTTGGAATCAGTAACCGAAAACAAGTCCAGCAATGATGCTTAATTGTTTCGGTGTCTAGTTGAGAAATATATTAATTATTTAGCATTCATTTTCTTGTATCCATTAAGAAAGTCGCTGGCTTGGGAGGAGTAAGATGCGAAGCTCAGGGTAGGTCAGTTTATTTCCGGATAGTTAAAATCCCCAAAGATGTAGTGCAACTGGGGATTCCCCAAAATTGGTAGTTGAATTTTGCGAATTTCTAAGAAAAAAAAACTTTATTACTAGATTATTGTCCTCCATTTCTAATCAGAGAGATAGGTACATGCCCAGCTCATCATTTTTGTCTGTCGCTTGAATATAATGACTACCTACTTCAATATACCCACATTGAACTTGCGTTCCGTTGCTTCTCCCGAATCGAATGTTAATTTTCTCATCATGTGAAATTGCTATATTTTGGTCAAATTAAAAATTTATTATTTCTTCTGCCTAGCTACAGAACTACTTGCTGATGACTTACTTTCAGCCATAGATTGAGAAGAAAAATTTATGACAAGCACAATCAAAATTAATAATTTGATAAAAAGAGTTGAGTCCATTTCATCATTGAACAATTACTTAACCATTCTTCATTTTTTCAAGGTATAATTCCATGCCCATATGGGACACCCGCTAGTTTAAAATTGCTTAATATCTGTCACCGGTTCTGAGATGATCTATTGACATTTAAAACAATATCGATCCACTTTTTATTCTAATACAATTAACTTTTATGCAACATGTCACCATCATCGTTACGCTGCCGTCTCGTAAATAAATAATTAAACAATCAAGATGCATCACACAATTCCAGACGCCATTTATTGAAGATTTTTCAAAACCATTTTAAGAGATAAAGTAATTGGTCGAGCAAGAATCTATATTAGATCACTATATTGCTCAACTCAACGGCATATCTTTAGGGAATAGATACCCAAAGATAATTATTTATAAATTTATAATTAACATAATTGGTGGTAATGAGTAGGTTTATCAGCTTGATAATCTTGACCTGATTCACTTGCAACATTTTTTTGGTGCTTTATAAATAAATATCGAAAAATTTCTCATACCTATTCCTCTAAATTCCTTATCCTTAAGTTGATTTGTTTCAAGGATGTAAAATTTTGTAATAATAAACAGCAATTAAAGAACAATACCACCATGAACTACATTTCTAACCTTTTGTCACGATTTTGTAAAATGACTTTATCGCAGATGCGAGCTTTCCTTTTAGAGAAAACTTACGCACTTGTAAGAAACTGTAGATTCCCTGATAATTTTCATTATATTTATGCCGGCTTTTATGGAGTTTTATGAGAACAAACTACAAATATCATAGCAAAAGGGTATAATGTACAAACTTGAATCATGTTCATGGTATGTATATGAAACATTTATGAGTATAGTTTTATTAAGTGGAGCAAGTCAAGGGCTCGGGACATTTTTCTTTATTTAATCAACATAAGAATTTGCTGTTTGATATATGGAAACCCATAATATTTCAACCATAAAAATACACAAATGTAGCCATCACGTTTTTACCATGAAAGTTTATAGCGTTTTGTCTATACTAAGGCCTAATCTCTGATCCAACCTTTCATTTTTATTGTGCTATTATACAGTGGCACTTGAGAATCATGCGATAACTATTTTTGGATTGGCAATTTATAAAGTAGACACATTATCTTTTCAAATACATAATATATCTTTATTCTGGCAAGATTTATGAGATCAATAAATTAATTAGTACAATATGTCAGTCTTCTATCAATAATTATTGAGGATTTATCATTTCCCAATAACTTCTTTTATCCAAGGAATGTAAGTTGAAACCCTAGTATATAATCCAGGCAAGTGAGGTCTGGCACATCCAATCCCTGTAGATACTACTCCAACCACCATCATTTGGTCTTTGGATCCGGAACCAATCATCAATGGGCCACCACTGTCAGCCTATGAAAAAAAAAATATAATTTTTTTAAAGTCAAATTAATGTTTATTGGTACTGACCCAACAAGCATCGATTCCTCCATTTTCATGTCCGGCACAAATCTGAGATTCCTGGATTTTGGTTTTTTTCCCCTGAGATTTGTACCAGCTCCTACATTTTTCAGTTTCTATTACGTTGACGTCGGCTTTTTGTAGTACCACGGCTCGTTTTCCTTTTCCTCTTTCTTCGTTGGTCCACCCCCATCCAGCTACAGTAGCTAAGTTATTGTGGAATGTCGAGTAGGACTTTTCAGAATCATCTACTGGTAGGCAGGCTGGAGTTACGCTTAAAAATTAATAAACGTAATTTATCGCTTATAAGGCTATAATTTTTACCTTTCTGTCCAAGATACCTCATTTTCTAACTCTAGAATAGCAATGTCATTTCTGGCTTTGTTACAAGTATATTCCGGATGTACTACTATGGACTTCAGGGACATTTCGTAAGATTCAGTATCAACTTTGGTCAAATCATGCTGCGATATCGTTACTTTTAGGCTGTTTGGTTTTAATTGGTCGTTACCACTACCACTGGAAAATATTAAATAATGTTTGCATTGAAAGTATCTGATCTTCAAGAGCTGTAAATGTCCATGCAGGAATATGCAGGAAGTAATTTGTTTCTATGCGGGTAATAATTTATTATTACACATGGTTTTGTTTTTTTGATTCCGGTAATTAAATTTCAAGTGTAATGCCAATGTCGTGCCTGAGCTGCCGATTGATAATTTACTTAAAATTTGCATTTCTACGAGGGTCCAACATGTCGAACTGATATTGGTCTTTGTAGGTTGGGATTTGAATTGAGTTGTATTTAGAAAAATAGCAGGGATATTTAAGTTTGGTAGTAGAGTTGGATTTTTTGGATTTCTGTATCATCATTCTGACCAATTAACGCTTCATTTCTTGCTCACTGCTGGTCGGAAGGATTTCGAACACAGTTTAGGATCTGTCATTTCGAAAAACTACTCACGTGCAAATACAATGTCCAGCCGTCATAACAAACTTTTTATTAATCAGTGTTCCTCCACAAAAATGATTGCCTCTTCTTGTAATCGATACCAACCAAGGAAATTCAAATTTGACAGCGTCTTGGCCTCCTACGATTCTGGCGTTTCTTTGGTTGAGTCTTTGGCCACAGTTTATGTCTGCGACTAGAAAAAAGATAAAATTAGTGAGTTTACTTGTTAGACAGAACAGATAAATCGTTTTAAACGCTTTTGGAAAATCCCTGTAGTATTTGCGCTTGATCTGATCACCAATCAAAACAAAAATTTTAAACTTTCATTCTATTTTTGAACTTTTTTTAGTATTTTAAAAATAGCTTATGTTGAGGTTAAATGTTCGTGTGATCAATGCATCAAATCATGCAATCAGAAAACGTTCGCAAAATAATGCCCTGAAACTGGATTATTGAAAAAATATTATCAACTTCCTGAAAAGTTATTGAATGAGAGTTAGGGAAAACAAAACATCAATTATTACTAAGTAGGAAAACAATATTTTCTACACCTTTTTACTTATCCTAGATATCAGATGAAATTATACTCACAATTATTTAAAGCATCTACACGAAAAACTATAAAACTGATCACTGATACGGTTAAAAGTAACATTTTTAAAATTACTTTTCCCAGTAGAAAAGATGTAATTATTGGGAAATCTATTATTTAGAAAACACCGTATCCGAATGATGTTTTCTCTGAAAACTCCGTTAATTATATACAAAAATGATATCTTCTTCCGGTACACCCTTCCATCAATATGCAAAATTCGCTCCGCCAAGGGTGTAATATTCAAATTGATTGATCATCGAACTTTTATAATATAAAATTCAATGTTGGTAGGTACATACTGAACAAATTTTTCCCGCGACAACCTTGTTCCTTTGTCAAGGTTTCCTATTGTTCGAACCCGGAAAAAACTGCTTGATGGCTTTTGCAAGGCTTTTTTGAACTTTGACTTTGGATGAAAAAAATAATTTTCCTCTTAAATTTTCACTGTTTTATTTTTAATACAGGGTGTCCCACGGTGGATGGCGTATTAGACGTTTATAGAGAACCAAAAAGCGGATCATTTTGAAAATTTGGCAACCGGGATAAACGACCATAATCTACACTTTAAAAATATTTTTGTTTATGCGGTGTTGCCGCTTCTACTCTAAACCAGTGGCAACATCGCTATTTTAAATGAAACACCCTGTATGTGATTGCATATTTGGATTCTACCTAAAATTCTGAGCAGATTTTATGTGATATACCCTATACCTAAGTTCAACTGTTTTGGAAATATTGACAGTTGAAAATTGACTTTTTGCAACTTTGACAGGCTGTAAAACCTAAACGGTTAATTTCAGAGGAAAACCGATCTTACAACTTTGAACTTAACCGGAGATTAAATTTAATTGGAATTTTTAATCAAGGATTAAATTCAAAATTGGTGTCAAATGATAGTTTATAAAAATCTAAGATAGGAATGTAAAATCGGGTTTTCTCTAAAATTAACCGTTCAGGTTTTACAGCCTGTCAAAGTTGCAAAAAGTCAATTTTCAACTGTCAATATTTCCAAAGCAGTTGAACTTAGGTATAGGGTAGGTATATCACATGAAATCTGCTCAGAATTTTATGTAGAATCCAAATATGCAATTAAATAAGGGGTGTTTCATTTAAAATAGCGATGTTGCCACTGGCTTAGAGTAGAAGCGGCAACACCGCATAAACAAAAATATTTTTAAAGTGTAGATCACGGTCATTTATCCCGGTTGCCAAATTTTCAAAATGATCCGCTTTTTAGTTCTCCATAAACATCTAATACGCCATCCACCGTGGGACACCCTGTATGTGGAATCTGGTTCTTATTATCAAAATTATTAACAGGATGTCATATACATGCAAGTACATAGAAAAAAAAATACATACTACTTTTTTTTTTGGGCATGTATACTTAACATCATTAAGAAATTTGATCAAATTTCACTTTTATAATACTGTCACGGCTCTGGCGTGCATGACAGAAATTTTGGGTCCGTTTATTCAAAACTCAAAGTCCGATTAATACAAAAATAATTTCCATTTCCAAATCCAAGCGGCAGTAAATGACAAACTGGTAATTTTCATTACAACCTATCAAATGTCCTCCGTGCATGCGCACTGGTCCAAGTAGGGCGTTTCAACCAATAGGAAAACTGGTGTTTGTTTACAATTTAGGTTATTAAATGTCATTTACTGCCGCTTGGATTTGGAAATGGTGTAATTACTTCACTAATTATCAGGGTCGGCGCAAGCGACTTTGGCGCCCTAGGCAAATGTACTGTCTGCCGCCCCCCATCAAGTAAAAATACGAATAGGTATGCATGGCAAATCCACTTATGTATAAATAATCCCATTTGAAATGTCAAAAATCGTAGTCTGCTGGCGGATAAATAGGAAGGAAGAGGAATTTTCTGTTGATGCAGTTGTTACCGTAGTAACAATTGCATATTAAATTAGTTTTTCTCCAAACGTCAGAAAAACGTCACTTTGATAACCCCTGTCAAGATGTCCCATGCGTTTGGAGAAAAAATAGCGTGTTGCATACGGAGTAGAAGCACTTTTTTGTGCTTCAGCGGTATTGCAAGCCTCACTACGTTCGGCTCGCAAACCTACCGCTTCAGCACATAAAGTGAAGCTTCTACTCCTAATACAACAATATACTCTATACTATTCTATGATTAGTTTTTGAATCATCTGTCAAATAATTTTGTCAGAAAAATTCACAAATTCGATCATTTTAGCTTATTAATAGTATATTGTTGTATTAGGAGTAGAAGCTTTACTTTTTTCTGCTGAAGCAGTAGGTTTGCGAGCCTAACGTAGTGAGGCTTGCAATACTGCTGAAGCACAAAAAAGTGCTTCTGCTCCGTGTGCAACACGCTATTTTTTCTCCAAACAAATGGGGTAAGCTCGGGGGTAACTGAATTGTTAAGCGGCAGTAAAAGTACGAGCGGCACTAAAAGTACTTTTGCTGCCGCTGGGGTTGCCAAGCAGCATAGAAATTAAATTTCTACCACCTCGACAGGTGTTAACCTGCTGGATTTGCCTACCAACATAGAAATTAAATTTCTGACATCTTGACAGAGATTAACAAAGTGGCGTTTTTTTGACGTTTGGAGAAAAAAGTGTATTTTTAAATAAAATTAAAAATATTTTCAACATGCAGCGATTTGGGACAATTACACATGAAATTAATAGCGGAATAGAAAATTCCATTCCTGATTTGATTATGCATTCCTGGAATTGCCGTACCTACTAAATACTATTCGAGCTCAGATTTTGAGCAGGATATTTTTTTGCTTGCTCTCTCATACTTACTTTCATGCAATTTATCTCGATCTGTTCCACAAAATCACTCGAGCTGCGCTCTCGTGATTTTGTCAGAACAGCTCTCGTTAAATTTCCTGAAAGTAAGTATTCGAGATTAAGCCAAAAAATATCCGGCTGAATCTGAGCTCTTATGGTATTGAACTTCGTTGACCAGTCAGAAACAACTACTCCGAGGGCAAATACCCCTACCGGCGTTGAACTACACTGATTGGTCTGAGCTTTCGCTGGCAAAAATCTTTCTAACAATTTCTATTGCCAACGAAAGCTCAGACCAATCAGTGTAGTTCAACGCCGGTAGGGGTATTTGCCCTCGGAGTAGTTGTTTCTGACTGGTCAACGAAGTTCAATTTTGCTTGGACAGGGAGCTTCAGCCTATGTCCTTCTGATGAGTCCTAACAAGGACGAAACGCGTCAAGGATTGGCACGGGAAGCCTGAGTCCACTGCTCAGTGGGCCGATTCCCAAACAGGGACCGAAGTGTCCCTGTATTCACGTTGGTCATTACCTGTAAAAATCTTTCTAACATTTTCTATTGCCAACGAAAGCTCAGACCAATCAGTGTAGTTCAACGCCGGTAGGGGTATTTGCCCTCGGAGTAGTTATTTCTGACTGGTCAACGAAGTTCAATTTTGCTTGGACAGGGAGCTTCAGCCTATGTCCTTCTGATGAGTCCTAACAAGGACGAAACGCGTCAAGGATTGGCACGGGAAGCCTGAGTCCACTGCTCAGTGGGCCGATTCCCAAACAGGGACCGAAGTGTCCCTGTATTCACGTTGGTCATTACCTGTAAAAATCTTTCTAACAATTTCTATTGCCAACGAAAGCTCAGACCAATCAGTGTAGTTCAACGCCGGTAGGGGTATTTGCCCTCGGAGTAGTTGTTTCTGACTGGTCAACGAAGTTCAATTTTGCTTGGACAGGGAGCTTCAGCCTATGTCCTTCTGATGAGTCCTAACAAGGACGAAACGCGTCAAGGATTGGCACGGGAAGCCTGAGTCCACTGCTCAGTGGGCCGATTCCCAAACAGGGACCGAAGTGTCCCTGTATTCACGTTGGTCATTACCTGTAAAAATCTTTCTAACAATTTCTATTGCCAACGAAAGCTCAGACCAATCAGTGTAGTTCAACGCCGGTAGGGATATTTGCCCTCGGAGTAGTTGTTTCTGACTGATCAACGAAGTTCAATTTTGCTTGGACAGGGAGCTTCAGCCTATGTCCTTCTGATGAGTCCTAACAAGGACGAAACGCGTCAAGGATTGGCACGGGAAGCCTGAGTCCACTGCTCAGTGGGCCGATTCCCAAACAGGGACCGAAGTGTCCCTGTATTCACGTTGGTCATTACCTGTAAAAATCTTTCTTATGGTATTACCTACGACTATTTTTAAACACATGTTTTATAGTTTTATTAATGATTGTAAATAATATAACCTGACTTACAGAATATACAATTGGAATATCAACATAAAAAAATACATACACACATTCCCGCCGCAGGCGCCGGCGGAGGCGAAAAAATCCTGTT